TTCTTCTTCTACTACTACTTCTTCCTTCCTCTTCTTCATCTTCATCTTCTTCATCTTTTTCTATCATTTATTCTTCCCTTCCTCCCCCCTTTCTCCTCCTTCTCCTACCTCCTTTCCTCCTTCCCCTTTTCCTCCTCCCCTCATTTTCTTTCTCCTCCTTCTCCTCCTCCTCCTTTTTATCACTTTGTTTCGTTTTTCTTCAATTATATTTTTCTTTATCTGTTTCACAATCTGTAGGTCTTTTTATACCATCATAATCTTGATAATAAAATCTCTATTGCATGATTTTGATATTTTTCTTTTCGCTTCACACGTTTTTCATCTATTTTGTTTTATATAGTTTTATATACGTGATAATCCCATATCGCTTTAGAATCTCTTATAATACACAATGTTTTTTTTATATGAATCAATCCTTTCATATTATTTTACCTTATATTTTTTTCCTTTTTTTTTTTTTTTTTTTTTTTTTTTTTTACCTTTCTAAAGCTGTTTTATTTTTGTGTTTGTGATACATCGTCCTAAATTATTTCATATTCATTAATACTGATTTCATTATGTTTCGTCGTATCAGGACGTCAAATTATCTATATTAAACATCAATAGCGAGCGATGAGATGTGACATTGTGAATGTTTGTTTTAATTTGTATTTCTGATTATTTGACGATGCATTGTGCATTGCTTATCATTATTATATCCTTATTTGTCTTTTATTTGCTATCGTTTTTTTTTTTTTTGCGTCCTTTCAGGTCTGATTTATCTTCTTTTTATCTTCTTTTATTTCATATTGCGAATGTTATCAATTATTCTATCATTCCATTTTCCGCTTCATCTCATGCCCGTCTTCCTTTTCTCAATTCGAATTTACGATTAATATCATTATCCACATATTTTCTATTCCGCTTCATCTAACTTCCTTTCTTCCTTTTCCATCAAAATATGTGCGATCAATATTTTATCCTGTTCATCGACCATTTTCCTTTTTTCCTTTCCTTTTTCTCTCTTTTCGTTTTTTTTTTTTTTCGTTTTCCTTTTTTTTTTTTTTTTTTTCTTCTGTAAACAAGCAGCTGTCTCGTTATTTGCCGAAATGGAAACTTTTTCGCGGAAGTTTTGTCGTCAACGTTTAATATTTATGAAGTAATGACGGTTAATGAAATTGTGGCATTGCTGGAAGGGAGGTAAAGGAGAGAGAGAGATGGAAGGAGAGAGAGCAGAGATAGAGAGAGAGAGTGAGAGAAAGCGGGAGGGAGACGAGGAGGAAAGAAGGAGAGGGAAGAGAGAGATGGGGGCGAGAAGGAGAGGATAGATAGCGAGAGTTAGAGAGAGCGGAGAGAGGAAAGGGGGCGCAGGAGGGAGAGAAGGAGGAAAGAAAAAGGAGAGGGGAGGAGGAGAGGAAAGAAAAGAGACGGGATGAGAGAGGAGAGAGGAAAGAAAGAGAGGAGAGAGATAAGGGGGAGAAGGAGAAGAGAGAGAGGAGGAAAGAAGGAGAGAGGACGAGAGGAGGGAAGAAAGAGAGGGAGAGGAGAAGAGGACAGGAAAGGGAGAGGGCGTGAGAAGACAATAAGACCAGACAACTGAAGAGGGACAGCTGGAGAGAGACATTAGAGCAGAGAGAAAGAGGAAAAAAACGAGGCAAAGCGAAGAGGAGAGAGAGGAGCAGAGATGGGGAAATGTGGGGGCTTTAAGAATAGACAAAGAAAGAGAGAAGAAAAAAGCGAGGGAAATGGACCAACAAATGAAGTAATACCTGTTTAATTGAAAGAGCGACCCCTCCCCAGTTCCCCCCCTCCTTTCTCGTTCCTCCAACCTTCCCTCGCTACCGCCCAAATGCCCCTCCCTTCCCTCCCTCCCCCCTTCCTCCCCCTTCCTTCCACTCTCCTCCACCCTCCTTCCCTTCTCTCTCTATCACTCCCTCTTCCCTCCCCCTCCCTCCCCCCCTCCCTCTCCTCCCCCCTCTCTACCTAACTTTCTCTCCCCTCACCCCTTCCTCTTCACTTCAACCCCCTTTCCCCCTGCTTCCCTTAAAAAACACAAGCCAAGAAACACTAGTTCGACAATAACGATAAATTGTAATTCCTCTTCTCTCCCGGTCTCTGTCATCTGATCTATCGTATTATCTCGTCTATTCATCTCTGTATTATATCGTTTATCTCTCTCATATATATCTATTCTATCTTATCTATCTTATCTATCTGTCTGTCTGTCTGTCTATCTCTCATTCCCGGTCCATTCTCTCCTCTTCTCTCTCTCCTCTCTCTTCTCTCTCCTCTCTCTCCTCTCTCTTCCTCTCTCTCTCTCCATCTCTTCTCTCTCCTCTCTCTTCCTTCTCCTCTCTCTCCTCTCTCCTCTCTCTCTCTCTCTCTCTCTCGTCTTCTCTCCTCCTATCAAAGCCTCTTCTCGTTCTCTCTTCTTCTCACTTCTCCCATTCCTCTTCCTCCTCGTCATATCAAATGCCACTTTTCCCTCCCAGTTTATCTTTCTCTGATTTCTTTCACGGCGACCTCCTCTTCCTTCACGGGCTTTCATTTTACTCTGCCTTTGTTAGTGCCCTTTTGGGTTTTTTTATTCAACAGAGGGCTGAGGGGGGGGGCGGTGCCTCCTATAGCCCCATTCCCAGACCCCTTCCTTCCTCCA